AACAAGGTATTGAGAGGCATTAATAGAAACTCTCGCCTATATACCAGGGTCCGGCAATAGTGCGTCGGGCATCTGTAGCTCCTAGAATAAAAGACTTGAGAATTTTCTTTAAGTGCAAACCTAAAGCATGTACCAGGATGTATTTCCGGAAAATATTTTAACTTCTATAGGGTGGCTCAAAAAAGTGTGAGTGGATCTGGATGACTTTTTAAATGGAACACCCTGTATATTATTGCCTTTTTGGCTTCCTTTTAGATCACTTTACATAATCCTAAGATATGAGTAAATCTATTTCAATAGTTACAGAGATATTAAAAAATAAATCAAAAATATATATTTTTCAACCCTCCTTAAAAAAATATTAAAAATAGAACAACTGTTCTGAAATCAAAAACTATATTAGATATTTATTTTAGATGGTCTGTTCTTACTTTGCTATAAATATGGTAATCGTAAATCATACAGAATGTTCAATATTTTACGCCAAACTTTCAAAAATTCATACAACAAATTGTTCCGACATAATTTTACTCTCTAAGAGGATGAATTTCCTAAAATCGCTTTGTGTAGCTAATTCACTAATGTCGTTTAAACGAACCTTTGTTCTAATATTTATGTATCTAAAGCTGGCTGTATGAACTGATCCCTAAAATATCTAAAAACTTGATATATAATCTAACTGACAAACCACTGACAATGACAAGTAATTTATTTCTGGAGATATTGTGTGTAGGTGTTTTGCAGGTATGTTTTAATATTTAGTCATTGTGTGAATTTAGTCATGTCATAATATTTAGTTATGGATGTAACAAAAAACATATATAAAATATATATATTATATATGTATGGATTTTGTTGCAAATATTATTTCTAATCTTAATTTGAAAACCGCATTTCGCTAGCTACTGTAATTTTGGAGTTACGATTTTTATAAATTTTTAACCCCCTTCTATACCCCCTTACCAACCCCCCACCCCCACCAAAAACTAATAGCCAGATTGTCTGGTGCCACAGTATTTTTGTGCCAAATTTGGTTAAAATCGGTTCAGCGGTTTTTGAGTTATCGTGTTACAGACGGCAGACAGACAGACAGACACCACGAAAATATTTTGTATTCATTTATTTTATTATTTGGGTCATTTATGACCCTAATAACTCATTTTGAGTAAAATTAAAAAAACATTTTTTTTGCCGATCCTAATAGCCTACCATACCTATTGGTATGGTCGGCTAATAAACTTAATCCTTTATAATAGTCACCCATGATTAATAAAATCAACAATATTTTGTTTCATTATTTCCTATTGTGTTCGTAAATTTGAAACAAATTTATTCAAAACATGTTAGATAAACTTAGGTTAGATATACCAATACCGCATAAAATGTTTTTTGCAATCTGACTAGTCTACATTAGGCATTTTGCAGAATGACCGAAAACAAGCAATCTTTTTGCAGAAATGTACATCAAATATCGTCATTTTTTAATATGCCTAATTCATACTAGCCATTTTGCAAAGCGACTGGAAACAGATAGGCACTTTGTACACTTTCCCCCTGCCACACATATACAGGGTGGCCCATTAGTGCGATAAAGTCATATATCGTTGTTGTTGACGCAAATATAAAAAAAAAACGTTTTATATAAATGTTGTATGGTTTGGTTGGGTTTGGTTGTCATATAATGTTTAATAATATACACTTTGTTTCAATATTGTGGTGATATATCCACAAACTAAGTGTACAAGTAAAGTACTTATTGGTCATCTTAAAGCGAAGTCATATCGGAAAGCGGAGAGCTACCTCAGGACTCTTGCAACGAATATAGTGAATATATTTAAGAATAAAGGAAGTGCATCAGACTGCGGAAATTACCGGTGAATTTCACTATTATCTATTGGAGGAAAAATTCTTGCAAAATTTATGTCAAACCGCCTGCACCCACATATAGAAAAAATCGTTCCAGAATCGCAAACGGGTTTCCGCAGCAACCGCGGCACCGTCGATTCCATATTTTCCATTCGCCAACTACAGGAAAAAGTAAAAGAGCAGCAGTCTAAACTTTATGTTGCATTCATCGACCTAACAAAAGCCTTCGACTCTGTGAACAGAGATGCACTTTGGGCAATTATGAAAAAGTTCGGAGTACCCAACAAATTCCTTACAGTGTGTAAAAGCCTCCATAACAACAACGAGTCAAGAGTGTTACATCATGGATCACTGAGCGATCCCTTCCTAACAAATACAGGAGTTAGGCAGGGATGTGTCTTAGCGCTTCTCCTATTCAACATATTTGTGGCAGCGCTCTCCATTTATAGTGGATAGTAAACTGCAGGAGAGAGGAATGGGCATTAGATATAGATACGACGGCGCACAGTGGATCGACGTATATACGGAAATATGGACATTTGCTTTTGTTTTTGAACTATTAGTCTGATTTGGACATTTTTGGACCATATTACTTGTGAGACATTTCTGATACTATTAACTTTGACCACTAACTAACAAGATTTCATTCGTCATATTTATTTTTTAGTAGAAAAATTGCCTGACATTATAGCTCAGTCGAGCTATCAGTTAAGTAATATACAAGGTTGTTCACGCTATTCATCAAGGAGTATTGTAGCCAAATGGTTAGATTTGTGGAAACTATGAATGATGGGATTGTTGATGGACCACTAAAGGTACACTTTAAAATAATTTGCAAAACGTACAGAGTACCCCAAATAAATAAAAAATATCAAAGTTGTATTTTTTAAATGGAACACCCTGTATATTATTACATTTTTAGTTTTTACGATTAAAATGAACGTAATTTAATTAAATTTTATCGCACTTTAATCCTTCCGTTTTTGAAATATTTACGATTTTGTGAAAAAAACACTAACAATTTTAATGCTTATTTCTCTAGGTATATTTATGTTTTTAAAACCAAATATTGTACCGAAGTTTTTCTATTTACTAGATTTTTTGTTGCAATAATAAAAATAATACTACCTCATACAGAATGTCTATAAATTTATTTTAAATAATTATTAGCTTTAAGTGGCACAATAACTGGTTAAACTTCAATGGACTATGTGCAAAATTTTATGCTATATATCCAATTATGTACAAAAAAATTGGGGGTGCAATTAAAAAAAAACTTAAAGCTTTATCATAACTTTTTTTGGGACACCCTGTATACAACAAACTATTTTTTTGGATATGCACCATTTTAAACCATACAACATCTGTGTAGACTTTTTTTTCACATCTTTGTCAACAACGACGATATTGGACTTTCGCGCACTAATGCGCCACCCTGTATATTTTCCAAAGGGGCGCCTAGTGGCAGTAAATATTTTTATATTTCTTTTAAGGAGCCTTTAACCTCAATAACAGATATAAAAATAGTTTATGCATATTTAAGCATTTTTTTAAAACTCAAGATTAAAATTTAATTATTTGTGATACACTATATATTAATAAGATTTCGAAAATTATTGTTATTGAATATATTCTGGTATTAAAGAACTGGACAAGTCGCAAGGTCATAATTCTTAGAGAGTAAAAATATGATAAAAAGTTCATTAAGTTTTGGAATAAGTATGAAATTATGCAGTTTAATTTGTAATAGTCAATTTAATACGGAAATTCATATAAAAAATATATTGATATTGGGAAACACACCCCTGCACTATTCAGTAAGTTATCTATAATAAAGTTATGACTATTTTCAACAAATTTTAAGGTTTTAGAATAAATTTATTCAAAAAAATCTTAAGATAGAAATTTTGCATAATTGTTGAATGTCCATCAAATTGCATTGGGTCGATCCACTGTGGCGGCGGCGCGGCGGTCTGTTCAACATAAAAAGACTCAGGACAAAAACACGTACTAAATTCATCACAGAACTTCAGTACAAACTGATGACTCCGCCCTAGTTGCGAAAACGTTACAACAATTACAAGAAATGTTGAACACATATACCTATGGGCATACGAGGCTCTGGGCCTTAAGCTAAACATCGACAAAACCAAAATTATGTGCACTCCACCGGAAGATCGCAACAACGCTATAAAAATCGGAGATGAATTATTGAAACATGTAGCGGAATTCAATTACCTCTGCAGTTTGATTTCGGAAAAGGCCAATATCGACTCTGAAATTCAGCACAGGATTAGCAGCGCCTCAAGAGCATTCTGGAAATTAAAAGACAGGGTTTTTTAAATCATGACTTGGGTACAAAAACGAAACTCGCAGTGTACCGAATAATTACAATCCACACCGTGTTGCCACCATGGCCGTACCGCCGTCACATGAACGCATTAAACAAGTTGCAACAGAGACACCTTACACAACTCTTAAGAATCCGCTGGTTCCATTATGTCTCAAACGTATTGGTCCTTGAAAAAGCTAACTGCTAACGCTTAAGATGGGCTGGTCACGTATGCAGAATGCAAGAAAACCGCATACTAAAATCTCTGCTTTACGGTGAGCTTTAAGAGGAAGCCGGGTGGACAACTCAAAATGTACAAGGACATTTTCCACGAAAACTTAAAGGGGATTAATATGCAGAATGAGTGGGAAGAAACAGCTCAGAATAGAACTCGATGGAGAAGAATTGTAAACTCAGTGAACAGCGACAACCAAAAAGTAAAGAGGCAACAAAGCAATGAGATTTTTGAATGTCCGGAGTGCGGTAGGTAGATAACATCACGTATCGGGCTTTTCAGTCACAGTAAAACTTATGAAAGAAAACGCTTTGTGTGACCAGTTTCTGATGCGTGTCAAATACTCGTTAGGGAGTAATGGCAGTATGTATGTATGTATATCCACAAATATATTTTGTTGTATTGTTGTTAAAAATTCTAAAGAAGTTAAAAGAAAATAGTGTGTACATTATTATGTTACTCATTACTCATTATATTTTTTTAGATTTTCCACTAAACGAGGTAATCAACTGAGTTAGTAGACTATTATTCTTATAAACGGTCTTATTAGCAATAAAACAAATTATGTTTAAAATTATTGTTTATTTATATAACTTTTGCAATTAATTGGATGCCTCACAGTTGTCCAATATCAATATTATTTTTACCAAAACATTTAAATATAGCTAAAGCTGTCTTTTCTTTGGTTTCCTTAGCCACAGAACAATGATTTACGATTTCTTCGACTTTAGCGGAGTCAGAGATTGTTCTCTGTACGGCTTTTTTGATGGTGGCTTTTTCTGGGTTACCCTGGTCGTCTTGAATGTCGAGTTTCTTTAGCATACAGAAAGCGTGAAGTGAGAAATTATCTGGAAAGTCGACTTTTTCCTTTTTCCTCAACTTTTCAAATATTTCTTCTGGAACGTGAGTGACTTGATCGCTCTGGCATTCTCGATGCACCTTGATCCAGTCGTCTTTGTAAGTATTAGCCTAAAATACAGGCATAAGACGTTATGTTTGACATTTAAATTTGTGGGTAATAAAATTGATTTGTTGGATTATAAACTCTAGTAAATTTATCTGTCTAGAAGTATTAGAATCTGTGCGTATTAGAATTATACAGGCTGAGTCATTATAAGTGCAAATATTTTTAGGGTTGATAGATCCCAATAGAAGAAACATATTTTCTCTTTACCGCTTTTCAAATATAAGTCCAAAATAACCGAGATATTTTAAATATTTTTATCTTTGAAAATTAAAAAAAAAACATATTTTTTTTGCTTCAATTTTCAGAACTACTGGATATTTTCTGTGTTTTCTTTCTTGTAAATTTAACCTGCTTCCCTAATGTTGCCATATTATCAAGATTAATTATTTTTATCATTTAGAATTTTTTAACTAATAGTTTAAAAAAAATCCAAAAATTTTTAAAAAAATTATTCCAAATTTTTATATCTTTTTTCAGTTTAGTCATAGACATGTTTCTGGAGTCGAATTATAGTACATAAAAATATTGGAACTTATTCAAGACTCACTTTGTAGAAGTAAAATTTTAGAAAAATTTAAATACATTTTACTTGTTCATTCTCGTTAAAGATTTGCGTACATTCTCGTAAACAATTTTTGTCGGTCTGACAAATTGTGTTGTAAAGTAATAAACAAATAAATACTATAGAGTAAAGAATTCAAAATATAAAGGTAAATTTATTTTAAAAAATGCCACATTTTAATATAAAAATCCTTAAAAAAACACGTTACTGTACCGGGTGTCTTTTAAAAGTGTCTTCAATTAGTTTAGTCCTTGTTTAGTCGCTTCCTGTTTCACCGGAAATGACTACAGCTTTTGATTTTTAAATGGTACCGTCGGCGTCGATATTTTTTCAGTTTATTTGATAGAAAACGACATTCTGAATAAAATGACATATGGTATGTCAACATCTTCGCTTAGAAAAAAATATTATTTTAAATTTCAGTCTAGAGTGGTGAAGCCATGACTGTGTTAAAACGACTATTTTTTAAGCAATAAAAAGTCTTGGAAGAATAGATTTGATTGTCTAATGTTTTTCGTGGCTACTCCTGGCCGATTAAAAGATGCCCAAATCGTATTTCTAATAATACCTCAATTTTTTCAAATGGAACAAAGGTGACTCATTATCATATTTGGAAAAATCATTTTTTACAAATAATTTTGTAGGTACCACATACTTGATATTTTGAGTAAAAACGTCATTATGAACACAACGTGGCTCTCCATGTGAAATGGAATTTGGTTTACATGTGAAATATCTATTCACTATTCAAACTATTATTTCTTATCATATAAAGTACAACATTTTCGGTGGTACCATTTAAAAATCAAAAGTTATCGTCATTTCCTTGAAATATAAAATGATTGAAAATAATCGATTACGTCAGTCAGTACTGATTTATGTCACATACTCATATTAACATACTAAATCTCGTTTATTTATCTGAAAAAATAAATAAGTTATAGAAGTGAGCCGCCACTTTTGAGAAACACCCAGTATATAATTATACATAGTAAATTATACTGATGTAATCTTAAACTAAAATATGCAATATATGGATGACAGAAGAACCAATCATCTAAAGTTCAATTTCAAGATGCTAACTTTAAAATAACAATTTTGAAGCTATTATTAATATCGTGATAAAATATGTATCTATTTGAATAATATACAAAAACACAGAAATTTCATTTAATTTTTTAGCAATAAATAAAATTATTTGATACTAGAATAAATATACAATATGAATTAATTAATATATTTACCAGAGCCACGGCCAGCAACAGAGCCAAAATTAGAACTTTCATTTTCAAAATATTATTATTGATCACACCACTATGAATAACTGAGAATTGAATAACTGATTAATGGCTAGTGGTTTCTTATATATATTAAAAACCTTTCTGATAAAGCTACTTTGTTGTTACATTTTGTAAAAAATTCAATATGTATGTTTTCGTTCTTTGTTATCTGTTTTGTAAGAATTCTCGGTACATGTTATGGTCATTATCAAAGAGAATTTAAAAAATGCAGTGGAAGATGCGAAACAAAAATTCCCTAAGAACACGAAGTATGTTAAGAAAATCTCTATGATCGAAAAAATAAATCGCCATAGTGACCTCAGAAATGACAATCGAATTTTTGTCGAGCGTGTAATGTACGTTATTTATTGAAATTTGACTTTATTGACTATATTTGCATTTAAGTGATTGGCGTGTTTGACACATTTTATGACGTGAGGCATGTTTTAAAATATTGTAATTATACAGGGTGAGTCTTAAATAAGTGCAAATATTTTTAAGGCTGGTAGATCTCAATAAAAGAAAAGTGTGTTCTCTTTACCGTTTTTCAAACAAATCCAAAATAACCGAATTATTTTACTTTGGATTTTCAAAAAAAATTTGCTTACATTTTGAGAACCAATGGATCTTTCCTGGATTTTCTTTCTTGTAAATTTAATCTACTACACAACTTGCCATATTATCAAAAAATTATGTTTTTTTAACCAAAAACTTAAAAAATTTAAAATTTTCAAATATTCTTTCCGCGAAAAAAACTCGTGTATCTGCGGGGTTGAAGTATACTGCCGCTAAAAATATTTGCTCACCTTATACAGGGTGTCCCAAAAATAAGTATTTTAACTGATAGAATATTTTGGCCTCCCTCAGAAACACGCCTATGAGGTTTTTTTGCGATTTTTTTTTTAAATTTGGAATTTTTTTTAGTTTTAAGTTAAAAAAACATAATTTCTTGATAATATGGCAACATAGGTAGTAGATTAAATTTACATGAAAGAAAATCAAGAAAAGATTCATGGTTCTCAAAATTTAAGCAAAAAAGCATTTTTTGTTTAAATTTTCAGAGTAAAATAATCGGTTATTTTAGACTTACTTGAAAAACGGTAAAGAGAAAAAATGTTTCTTTTGACCAGATCTACCAACCCTTAAAATACTTGCACTTATTTCTGGGCACCCTGTATAGTAATAAAATTTTAGTTTTAAGGCCTAAATTACTATAGGACTATACGAACGGCTTGGTGGAAATAGTCTACCTACTCTTGCTTGAGTGTTTTGAAGAAGTCAATCGGGGTTCGCCCTCAGAGGAGGAGTTCAGGAGTTCGTTTTATCATCATAATCCAGCCACTAAAGTCCACTGTTGGACTCCCTGGAGTGCTCTCTCTCGTTTGCTTCCATAACTCCCTATCTTAAGCTATTTGCATCCAGTTACTGTGGATGTGGATACGCCTTAAGTCATCAAGCCATCTGGTTGGAGGACCGGCCCCTGCATGCTTCTGAGTGCATTATGTCTCCATTCTATTATTTTCTTCGTCCATCGTTTAGCCTTATAATGTGCCCTGTCCAATTCCATTTCAAAGTAGTTATTTGCTCTATAGCATCCATGACTTTTGTTGTTTCGTACTGTTATGGACTATTAATCAGATAAACTAATTCACAATAATTTATAATTTCAAACCACAAGCATCAAGAAAAGTAAAATTATGAGGAGAATATCCAAAGGGTTTAATTGACTGACATTGTTACATTCAAAAAGAATATGAATATGAATAGATTGAATAGATCCTGTTTTTTCGCAATCAAATATGAGCTCTGATTTGCCCTAATCCTATTAAAATGCACAGGAACTAAACAGTGTCCACTTCTGATTCTTGAATATGCATTAATTTTCTGTCGAGAAAAAATGGGAAATTTCTTAAACCATGGAAATTTATATGGCTGTTATATTGTTGTTTCTTCATCTTCCCTTTTTCATTAGACCATTCTATCCTTGTCGATCAAAATAGGTTACATTAAATATTTTACATCTATTTATCAATTCTCATAAGTATATAGGGACTAATAAAACACATATTCAATTAATTTTCCAAAAAAGAATTAAAAATTGATTCTTTTGGTGTTGTATTTAAAAAATAGAGATATAGAGGGTGGTCCGAACAGTATTCCGGATACTCAGCATATTCTGCAGATAAACATAAGTAAAAAAGTTCGTATAAATGTATGTCCTAAAATGCTTAGTTTCGGAGATACAGGATGTAGAAGTTTCATTTTTATTTTTTTTTCCAAATAATTTCTAAAGTAACGTCAATAGTTGGATAAAAATAGGTGTCTTGGAGTTTTTTGACATGAGAAATTTGATTTTGATATCTATATGACTCCTACATGTAGAGGGCGCCACTTACATATTTTAACTGGTTTGAAGAGTAATAACTTTTTGTCCGTACCTGTATAAAGCTTCTGAGTAAAAAATATACATTTACAACGTTTTTTACGTAAAAGAGATATCTTAAAAATCGCTACGAGTAATGGCTCTCCAGATAATTAGAATCGAAATGATCAATACCTGTCGTCATTGACATAAATTAAACATGTTGACTAAATAGCGAGCGAAATAGTTATTAGACTTAAATCATAAATTTGAAATGTTTTTGTGCCAAAAGTTCAACAGAAACTTTTTTATCATCATTTTTTCAAAGAAATATTTATGATTAATTTAAAAAAATAAACAGTTCCCAAATTTATCTACTCAACATTGTTTCTTTTTTGTCAATAGTGACATGTATTGACTATTTCCATTCTAAATATCTTGAGAACGGTTGCTTATAACAATTTTTACCAAGAGATATTTTTTACGTAAAAAATCACGGAAATGTATATTTTTTCACCCAGTAGTTTTATACAGATACGGACGAAATGTTATTACTCTTAAAATCAGTTAAAACACATGTAGGTGGCACGTTGACATCAAAATCAAATTTCTCATGTTAAAAAGCTCCCAGATACCAATTTTCATCCAAATATTGACGTAACCTCAGGAATTATTTGGAAAAAATCGAATTAAGAAGTTTCATTTAACTTCTACACCCTATATTTCCGAAACTGAGCATTTTAGGACATTCATTTATACGAACTTTTGTACTTATTTTTATCTCAGAATATGCTGCAGAAGTTTCCGGAATACAGTTCGGATCACCCTGTAAAATATAGCATTTTAAATATCGCGATTTTGGCGACGCCATAAAAGTATCCTCCATAGGATAATGTAATTTTTCTTCGTAGATTTATTCTGTTATCCTTGGTGTTTAGTAAGTTAGTATTAATAAAGAGATAGTCACTCCAATTTTTAACAATTTTTTGGATATACAATATCCAAAAAGTTTGCTGTTCTATTGTGGTTGCTAATCTATTTGTTTTTAACAAATAGAATAGCAAGAACGTACAGTGCTCCAAATAAAAATAGTGTACTATATGCAGAATATTATGATGAATCACATTATGTACCGAAAAATGGGAGGTGCAATTTAAAAAACCTAAAACTCTCATGAAAACTTTATCATATTTTTTTGGGACAACCTGTGTAAAGTAAAATATTTTTAGGATATGCACCATTATCAACCATGCAACATCTGTATAAAGCTTTTTTCATATCTTTATCAGCAACGACGATATCGGACTTCGTCGCAATAATTGACCACCCTGTCCTGTAAAAATAAATAACGCTTTGTTGTGCAAAAAGCCAAAATAGCTTCATCGACAAAGCAATTACAAAACAAACAAAAGCACAAAGAATATACAAATAATAAAGAAATATACAATACAAATCATACAATTCAAGTCATTAAAATTATAAATAATACATCGGCAATTGCAGAACACAAAAAAAGGCGTATAATTAAAATTTACAATAGGAAAATTTTAAATGGATATAATTTTAAGAATTATAAAATATTAAATACTCCACTTTTGACCAGTGTGTGAGATGATCAAAATTATAAAATTCAAAATTGTGCTGAAGACGCATCTAAAACAACTCTGTTTCGCAAAGTATGCTTTATTAAAATGCTTCTCTGACAAAGTATGAATTCCTAAAATATTTTGGTCATATTATTGGACAATTTTGTATTTGATTTGTGAAAATAACTTAGTTAATAGTAAGTTAAATACCTAGTGATATAGGCGTGACGTTGAAACTCTGAATTGACGATCGATGCCTTTTACCTCTATATTATAATTTTATAATTAAAATATTATCAATTCTCGTCTCTATAAGAAAACATGACCTGGTTTTTAACATAGTGTATAGACTTATAGTTTTATTGATTTCCATAGATAAATTTTCTATCAGTGTTATTAAAACTCTGAAAGCAAATTATTTACAAAGATAATCTATAATCTATACCTATTGAATATTTAATCCTAAATTAAGCTTAAAGGTTACATTTCTTTTAGTGTTATAAATAAAAAAATAGTCTTTCAATCATTAAGATCATATGCTAGAAATGTTCTTTCGTCAAACCATTCGTCTCGATTTAGCAGAATCTTAGAAAATGGGAAAATCCACATACGCAACTTGTTTCTTTGTATTTAATCAGTTTGGTTTCTATAAAAATAATAAATGTTTATATTATTATTCCGATGAAATATAAATAACACAATTGTCTTTTCTTCTGTGCTAAATTATTCCATACAATCGTAAATATATCAACGATTAAGTCATGTGTAATTTATGGCCTTATTTGTCAATAAATTATTTATTTGGATCTTTCAAATTTAAATATTATTAATTATTATGGTCAATTAAATTGTTTGTTATTTAAACATATTTTCACTGTTTTCGTAATAATTTATAAACAATATTAAGATAACCTGAAGAAAAACTAGAAAATTAGGTACTTTTTCTATCATAAGGAATTTAATTTTTGTTCTAGGCAATATTAGATTGAGGCGATTAGTTTGCTTTTTATTCTTTTTGTATTAACAAAACTATTTAATTATTTTTTAAAATAATTTCAAGTTCAACTCTGGGTTTTTAAATTATTTAACCTGACTATATTCATAGCAACAATATTGATAAACGCTAATTAACATTGAATAAGGAACATCGAGCCAATTGAAAGATTCAAATAAATAATATCCAAGTCAGCAATTTAATGATGTAATATTTTTAACTTTTGTTATTATGAATTTGAAATCTCAATGTACGATCATATGAGTAATCGTAATTATTATAAATAAATCAACTTTTACAAACTAGTTTCTAATGTTCTACATGTTCGAAAGGATTACCACCATCCCCCTATTGGAGACATTAATTTTTTGTTCAATTTTATGTATAATCCTTTCAACAGATCTTTTTATAAACAAAATACAAGAAGCAAAATAAACAAAATACAAGAAGCAAAAAATTAAGGCCTATAAAATCTAAGGAAAAAAAGATCTTTTTATACTTCCGAATACATTTTGTACTCTCTGCTCTAAATTTTTAGGTTTGAGGTGTATTGATTTCATTTTTACAAATGACTTTAAGTAATGCCCCCCCCCCCTGACAAAAAAAACTAAGTGTGGCATGTGATTGTACTCAGGAGACTGAATACTTTCAAAACCTGAAATAAAAAATGCAAGTCGGTATTAAAAAAAATAAGTTGGCCTATGTATCTCAAAAATTATCAGCTAATTTGAAAACCTAAAAATACTAACAGGTAGCCGTGATAAAGTGGCTATGAGAATGTGCATTTAGTTTTTAGATTTTCTAAAAAGTAACGAGATAAAAAAATAAAGTTGATTTTCAAAAAATCTGTTTTGGCCAAATAACTCAGCAATCCTTGAAATTTTCAAAACTTTCTTGATGGCATCTTGGTGAACATCCCAATGTGCAACTTTGCCCCAATATAACAATGTTCGTTTGTTCGTATCTATTGCGATTCCCGATATACCAATGCTCGTACCTAGAATTTGTAGTACCCTGTATAAATAATGTATGAAAAGAAAAACTTTGATAAAGTAACGGAAAATTAAAGAGCGTAGACGAGTAGAGTAGTACGGTTGATTAGAAAAAACAGCCTCAAGTTGGCCTCAAATGACAGCGATCTTCTTTTCCAAGCTAACTCTGACGCCTTTATTCTTCGAAAATGTAGGTATACAGGGTGTTTCAAAAAACATGTGCTATCTATCCAGGAGATTCCTCATGTGAAAATATGATTTACCTATTTTTCATATCAACATAGGTTCGATTCTGCTTCGTTTCGTAGCTACAAAGGGTTAAATTCTTCATTTTTTTTTCATTTGTTATAATATTTCCTCGAAATTCTCTTAGCCATTCAAATTAAATTTTGAGGGTAAAAGCTGTGGTAAAAGTTACTATAAGTGCAACATATTTAAATGCTAAAAAGTGTCGACAGATTCATAAGGGACGTGCATTTAGGTTATGAACGGAGTATTTTTCGAAAAAAAGCATGTGCTCCACTCACTTTTTCTTTTTGTTAGGAAACTTATGGAGGATGTTTACTTAAATCCCAGTAAAACTGGTATCTATGCATTACTATTAATAAAATTAAATAAATAAATATAAAATTAATATGTTATTTACTCAAGCTAATTTATCTTTTTTTTTAAATTTATGTATTTCTGTATGCTAGAGATGTTTAGTGCTACCTGCAGCTAATTAAAAAGATAATGGTTTTTTAAAGGTTGCTAAGGCAAATTAATAAAATTGCGTTTATCTCATCAAGGAGGCCAAAATCGAAAAAATGACAGACAACTTTTAATCGGTATTAAACGGTCTAAACAAATTTAGTAACAAGAGAAAAAAAGGCAGTGGCGCATATATTTTTTTAGTAAAATATTCCTGATGATAACCCATATACACGTCCCTGGTGAATCTGTTGACACTTTTTTTTTCCAGGCATCGATCACCAGGATGATTAGCCATGTACAACTCGTTATTGATAAGAATGCAATTACAGGGGATCCCTCAAGGACACTCAAAGGATTACACTTAGAAGGGCAATTCAAAATTTAAAAAATCTACCTTGACATAAACATTTCAGGTTGAGTGACAAAAAGATCAAAAACAAACACAAAAAAAGTAGGAGAAAAAACAAACAACAAGAAAAGTAATGTAAATCACAGTTGGATTAGAGTATCACAGGTAAGTATCACAGTGCCTTTTAAAAATCAAAAGTTGTAGTAATTTCCGGTGAAACAGGAAGTGACCAAAAACAGTTGAATACGTCAATCAATCCTAATTTATGTCATATATACTAACATACCAAATCTCGTTTTTTTATCGGAAAAAATAAAAAAATTATATGGGTGAGCCACTTTTGAGACGCACCCGGTATATTAAGGTAAACTTCCACGAAAACCCCATTTATGTAACTTACTCATAATTCCAAATCTCCAGGTCATGTCAAATGCCTTTTCTATGTCTAATAATACGATTGTTGAATGAATGATTTGGATACTTCATTTTCGCGAAAAATTAAATTATCTAATGTTGATCTTCCCTTTCGGATCATTATGTCGATCAAATATGTCGCACTTGTAGTAACTTTTACCCTCAAAATTCATTCATATTCATATTACTGAAGGGCACTTGGAAGAAAATTATAATAAATAAGAAAACAATAATTTTTTTTAACTCTCTAGCTACGAAACAAAGCAGAATCGGTCCTATATTTATATGAAAAGTATATCTTATTTTTATATGAGGAATCTCATCACGAGAGATGGTACATGTTTTTTAAAACAGCCTGTATATGATATTTAAATGCAATAAATAATTGAGCAAGAATTTTGTCAAATAGAGAGTTAATATCAAAATAAAAAGCTATCATTGGGAAATCCATAATTACTGTGGGATGTAGTTCAATTTAAAATATCAATGTTGTTAATATCTACTTTAGTAGAACAAAAATTATTATGCAAAAAAAATAATTTAAAGGATCATTAACTAAGAACCGGCATACATTTTTTTTATCAGATATTTAAATCAAATATTTTATTTTCAATTTTGTATATAAATAACGAAAAACTTCGCTTAATCATTCTATAACAAATTGTCGGTTATATTTTACTAGTATCATATTTTTTGGGTTGAAAATGGATCATAATATTTTGAAGTATTTTTTGGCTTTACAACTTTTCTTGGTAGCAATTAAGGTATGTTTAGATATATTATGTATTTATTGAATATGAATTTGTATAAAATTGTTAAATGAAACTGATTAAGTTGAAGCGAAGTAGATATTTTAATAATTGTTGCTATAAATCTGTACAATTTGGTGAAGGAATTATTTAATTTATTGTTAATAAAAATAAATGAAAAATACTTAATATATAACTATTTAATTTTTAAATGTCCTGGAATTAGTTAAAGTTGGTAATATTAGTTTAATTTAAATTAGTTAATTTCCAACAAATTATTTTTGCAAATTTCTCAACCGAACATTTTTGATGTGTTATTTTTTAGTTAATCATTTATTCTCTCTTGTAAAGAGTGAATTTGTTTACAGAACTATGGTTTTAAAAATATACATCTGTGTTAATAACTCACAAATTATTTTTTTTAATTTTAGAACACTAATATATTTTTCTCTAACATTAAATATTAATGATGAAAATATGCTAGATAAATAATTCCTTCACCAATGTGCTAAGAAGTTTTATCTGCCATTAATTTATAAGAACGAAAAAGACTCCTTTTTTATTAATATCATCGGCTTTATGACGAAAAGGCGTATCTCGATTTTTGGCACTTTTCAGGTGAGCAATTTAAAGAAAATCACTTACTTTATTTGGCCATTAAATGTAAAGTTTTTAATTTTTTAATAGTGTTTTTGTATTAACACTTAAACGGAGACCTTCAGGACACGTTTTGAAGATAAATTGAGCGTAAATTCTAATAATAAATTTATTTTTAGTTGTTTAGTAGAGATAGGTCTTATTGTAATAATAATAATAAATTCATTTCCGAACGAATAGTACCTATACATAGGCGCATGTAAAATAAATTTAAAAATGATGGTAAAGCTCGTGGTAAAGTGTTCCTAATAAGAAAACACTATAATATTCACATTATGAATTACATACAAGAAAATATAGTACATACATACAAGAAAATATCTAGAATTTACCAAAAAATCACCACAAATATTTTGAAATACTTTTGTTCGGGTTGGATTAAATCAACTTAAAACAAAGACAATGTTCAGTCTAGAAGCAAAGACAAAATAAGTTTAAATACTCTTATCTAGCTTATTTTGATAATATTGTTTTTTTAACACAAAAAAACATTTTTAACTAATATATTTTTAATAATTATTTAGTTAATTGAGTTGAATGACAGGTTTATCACCAGTGCAAAGGAGTTGCAGATCTTGATATTTTCATAATATTATAGGTTTGGTTGTGATAATAAACCCTAAGTTTTGTTTAGAAAGTAACGTTGAAAAAAATAGCTATAGTTTTTATGTTACTGTTCTATAACTTTCACGAATTACCGGTAACAGCTGAGTGGCCATAAATACTTCGCCTGTATTTTTACTGCATGAGCAATATAACGGATTTAATAAAATTGCCCGAAAATAATTCACCTAAGGAGAATTACCCGAAAACAATTGAAAGAAAGTTAACCGAAAAGATGTTTCCCCGAACAGAAAAATCATCGAATTACAATTAACAGAAATAAAAATTACCCAAAATGTCATTTTTTTGTAAAAGATTGTTCTAATGCATGGAAACACAAGGACCATTTAATAAAAACCAAAAAAATAAAAGTTTATGCCGAATGTGATGAAATTTAGGTACTGTATTTTTCGGGCAACTTTTTGGTTCGCTAAAACGTTCTTAAGGAAATTATGATTTTGGGAAATTTTCCATTAGGGCAATCTTCGTTTCGTTGTTTTGCTTTCGGTCAATTTTCCTTGGGCAATTATTCTCGGACAATTTTTTGGATACCCAATACAGCTATGTCCAGAGTCTAACTCATTCTGACCATGGTTTTTGGGAAAAAATATGACTTAAAATCACACTGTAAAAGAGAGCTGCTGCCATAATAGATGTTTTATATTGTGTTAAGCAACCATCACAAAATAGTTAGCCGGAATGCGTGATGTTCTCTCGCATGCATTTTAATGCATAACTTAAAACAAAAGGACCTACATATCTCAAATTCCATCTTTCTTGTAATATAAGAATTGGTATAGCAATTGATAGAACAAAAGGACCTATCTCAAATTCCATCTTTCTTGTAGCATAACAATTGGTATAACAATAATTAATATAACAAAAAGTCCAATCTCAACATACGTCTTTTCGTCATAACCAGTGGCGGATACAGAGGGGGGACCCATGGGGCCCGCCCCCCCCTAAAATCTATATATTGGGTTAAATATTAGGCTTTGGGGTTAAAAATGGCGTCTTAAAAAATTCTACATGACTTTTTATTTGGGCCCCACCTAAAATAAATTCCTGTATCCGCTCCTGGTCATAACGAATAATTCTAGCAAATGAGATGGGGAAAATTTTTAAATGAATATAAAATGAAGAAGGTATAATATTGGTTTGGTTTGGTTTGGCATTGTATAATATTGGGATGCGCAAATTTGCTATGTTAAAAAATGACCCGGGGGAATTTCATGATGTTGATATATCAAAATCGCCAAAAATCGAGATATGTACGTCTTTTCATCATAAAGCCGACGATATTTTAATGATTGGTTTGACATGACTAATATGGTAACTTAAACACACTCTGCCAAAGTGAATTTTAAATAAAATCGTTCTACGCATAATTTGAGAAATAATACCAAATGGCGTTATAAGTGCACATTTGCACTCACAGTTGCAGTTTTTTAAAAGAAATGCCAAATTTGAAGAATTTCGGACAAGCTGATTTTAATTAATTTAAGAAAAACTGCATATAATTAAATTAAAACTCATTAAATACTTTGATCGAAAAAAACGGCGTTCAGTTGGCTTGAAAATGACGATCGATGACATTCCCTATACAGGGTGTCCCAGAAATAAGTGCAAGTATTTTAACTGGTAGTATAGTTTAACCCAAGAAACACGCCTAAGGTTTTTTTTGCAAAAAAAAAATTCGAAAATTCGGAATTTTTTGAAAAAAATTTTGAATTTTTTTTTAGTTTTTTGTACAATTTCTTGATAATATGGCAACATAAGTAGTAGATTAAATTTACAAGAAAGAAAATCCAGAAAAGATCCAGTGGTTCTCAAAATTTTAGCAAGAAATCATTTTTTTAAAATTTTCGAAGTAAAATAACTTTATTTTAGACTTATTTGAAAAACGATAAAGAGAAAATATGTTTCTTTTATCGAGATCTACCACCCCCTAAAATACTTGCACTTATTTCTGGGACACCCTGTATAATTAGGGTGTATTGGCGCTTGCCTGGTTTTGCATTGTGACCAGTTTCAGTTTCAATTAAAAAATAGATACAGTTTTTCTTAAATTAGTTTAAAAGCCGCTTGACCAAAATTGTTAAAATTTGGCATGTGTATTCAGCATAGGCAGACCTATAGGCTAGATAACCTATTTACGACTTGGTTGTAAAATCAACAGGGGAGCCAAAATTATTATCTAAACGCTTATTAATTATTTTTAAGGGAGAACTATTTACTCAAGAAGAGAAAGTTAAACTGAAACAAATCCATGACGATTGTGTTAAAGAAACTGGCATTGACAAGTCTGTATTGCTTGAAATTATCAAAAAGAAAGAATACCCCGACAATGAGAAGTTAAAGGAACATCTTTTATGTAGTAGCAAGAAACTGAAATTTATGACTGAAGATGGAAATATTGACAAAGACTTCATATCCAAAACGTTAATAGCGAAATTCAAACAGGAAAAAATAGTGGATGATATAGTCAAAACATGCGCTGTTACAAAGAGTAATCTGTTAGATACTGCATTTGAAATGATCAAATGTTTCCATCAATACGCTCCTGAGGAACTAGATATCTTAGAATTTTTTGAAGCAAATTAAATAGCATTGTAAGAAAATATTAATACCTATATAACGCATTATGAAATAAATTCAAGTTAAAAAGTTTACAATAATTTTTATTCATATTATATTAATCAGTCCCAGACAACTTCAAAGTTTTTTAAAAGTAAAGCTCTAGTTTTACCTCAGTATACCCGGTGCGCCTCAAAAGTGTCTCACTCCTATACCTTTTTTATTTTTTTAGATAAAAAAGCGAGATATGGTATGTTAGTTTATAACATAAATTTGGATTGATTGACGTTTTCAATTCTTTTCGGCCAATTCCTGTTTCACCTGAAATGACCATAACTTTTGACTTTTAAATGGCACTTTCGGTATTTTTTTACTTTATTCGATAGAAAATGACACTCTGAATATAATGACATATCATATGTCTTAACATTTTTTTTAACAAAATTGTATTTTAAATTTCAATCCAGAGTGCCATGGCTTTGTTAAAAGTACTAATTTTTAATCAATGAGTTTATTTAAAATGTTTTGTCCTGGCCTTTTAAAAAATGCCCAAATCATATTTTTAATCATATCTCAATTTTTTCAAATGGAACAAGTATGGCTCATTAGCATATGTATTTGGAAAAAGCATTTTTTTACGAATAATTTGCACATTACGAATAATTTCAAATAAACCATATTCGAAAATGTCAAAAGTTGACATTTAGGGATGTTCGGTCCTAAGATTCCAGTAAGGTATATCCGGTACCACAAAGTACCGGTCCTACAACCGGTATACAGGTTCCAACAATTAGATCGGTGGGACCGATACTGAACCGGTATGTCGGCTGGACCGGAAGACCGGATGGACCGAGAGACCGGTTGGACCGGAAGACCGGAACAATCGGAATATCGGAAAGACCGAGATAACAGTTTTGGTTGTTGTACCCAGTGAGCCTATATCTCATGATCATGATACCGTATGAAAAAATGTAAATAGAAAGTTCTTGTGCCTGTAACATTAAGTAAATACGGTAACGTAATAAGTACGGTATTTTGAGGGATAAATTAGATTTCTCGGAATATATATCGTAAATATATCCGTTACCGTTATTACGTTCTCATTGTTAATGTTGACATTTCCGTCATATTCTTGACTTTTTGTCCAATGTTTTCTTTACTTATGGAAAATGGAAAAAGTACTGGAAGCTGCTCTTCTTGGAAATATAAATATGGAGCAGAAATAAGATGCTATTTTACATATTTTAAATAATAGCTTTACGAACATTTTTTTTTAATTTATATAATATACTTGAGGGATCCATGAGTAAGATGCTTTACTTCAATTTTAGATGTACTAATAAAAGAAGACTAGATTACTAGACCAAACTAGAGTAGCAATGCCTTAAACATACATCAAAATAAATTACATTGCATGTTCCTGAACGTATTACACCGAATGATAAAAAGACGTCGTCCAGTTATGAAATGAACATGGATTACATTCACCACATAATTTGACATATAAAATGGCAGCGATCATTATTTCATAGCCATCGTTGAGTTTTTTTCGATCATACGGTACCTAGAGTAGGAGAACACAATCAGCTTTGCACAAAAACCGGTACTGAATATAATATATATATATATATATATATATATATATATATATATATATATATATATATATATATATATATATATATATATATATATATATATATATATATATATATCCATGTCCGGGCTGTAACCAGCCAAGGGCACGACGAATATTGTCAATAAGGTGAGACAATTCTTCGAATAATTCCGACGGTACCAAGCACAACTGCTTTTTGCATCCACATTATGGTGTTGTTCGGGAGGTTTAGTTCTTTGATATGTTGGTTTGTCATTTTGTGCACAAGTCCATTGGCACTTATTATTAACGGTACTATAATCACCTTCCGCAGTTCCCAGATTGCTTTTATTTCCTGAGAAAGTGCAGCGTACTTGTTTATCTTATCTGCATAGGCTTTAGCCACGTTATAATCCTGCGGTACTGAGAAGTCGATTATGATGGCGGTTTTTTCAGGTTTATTCCATATTACCATATCGGGTTTATTATGTTCTACTCCTATATCTGTTTCTACTGTAAAGTCCCAGTATATCTTGGTGGTGTTATTCTCTAATACAGCTTTTGGAACGTACATGTGGTGGGGGGTAAATGTGTCAAGGAGGCCCTTATTCAGGCATACCAACTGGTGCACTACTTTTCCCATGTTATTATGTCTTTCTAGGTATCTGGTCCCGGCTATTTTACTGCATCCAGAAGACAAGTGCTGTACAGACTCCTCACTAATATTACACAAACGACATTTTGTGTTTTCAACTTGTTGTTTTAATATATACCGTGCATATGTTCGGGTTTTTACTACTTGGTCTTGAATGGATAGTATTGCGCCTTCGGTTCCTGGGAAGAGGTATCCAGCTGTTAGGTAGGTATTTGAGGCCTTGAAATCCACATCTTCTTGGTGTAAGGAGGCGTAAAATCTGCCATGCAGTTCTTTACTCTGCCAGCGCTGTTTCATCTGTCCAGCAAGATTTACAGCTTCCGGTTCTTGGTCGCTAGCCAGGTTGAGTGATGTATAGTTTTTATCTAAGACTCGTATGCTTTTATACACAGGTGCATTGTTGGTGAGTAAATATTTTCGTAATTTCTGTCTTTCTTCCTGGCTAGCAGACTCTAAACTGATTAGTCCTCGACCCCCTTCATCCCTAGGTAAGTACAACCTTTCTATGGCCGAGTTTGGGTGTAGTATGCCATGCTTTGTAAGTAGAGATCTAATTTTCCGGTCCAGTCTTTCTAGATCCGTTTTTGACCACGTGAGTATGCCGGCGGTATATGTTAGCACCGGTACTGCCCAGATGTTGTATGCAGTAAACTTATTTTTGGCATCGAGTTGTGTTTTTAATATTTTATTTGTTCTTCGTACCAATTCCTTTTCGGCCTGCTCTTTATTGTCTTTCTGTTTCAGCTCGTAGGTTTGTTGTATGCCTAAATATTTGTATGAAGTCTCCGCTCCCAAATTTCGAATTTCGCTTCCGTCCGCTAGCGTGATGTCTGCGCTTTCAGTTAGCTTTCCCCTCTTTATATGGATAGTCGCACATTTATCGAGCCCAAACCTCATACAAATACCCTGGCTGAAACTTCTGACCAGCTCAAGCTGTCCCTCAAGCTGCTCTCGACTTTTTGCATACAACTTGAGGTCATCCATGTAAAATAGATGTGTAAGCTTCGTTCGGTCGTCAATCTTGTATCCGTATGCGCTTCGGTTTAGCATGTTACTCAACGGGTTCATAGCGAGACAAAACCACAAGGGACTCAAGCTGTCTCCCTGGAATATTCCTCTCTGGATGGGGATTTCTCTGGTCTTGTAAGAGTTGGTATTTCCTCTAACTAATAGTGTGGTGCGCCATGAACCCATTAGGTGCCGGAGTAGGTCGATGGTTTGCTCATTAATTTTATAGATTTTCAAAATCTCCATCAGCCAGGAATGAGGAACCGAGTCAAATGCCTTCTGGTAATCAATCCAGGCAACAGAGAGGTTTCTTTGACGTTTTCTTGCCTGCATGGTGGCAATGTTGTCTATAATCAGCAGTTCCTTACACCCTCTTCCTTTATGCTTGCAACCATTTTGCTCCCAGGACATAATATTATTTTGTTTTAGATGACAATTGAGTTTATGGCATAAAATAGATGTTAAAATTTTATATGCAGATGGAAGGCATGTTATCGGCCTATAGTTATTTGGCTTGGCTAAATCACCTTTCTTAGGCAACATATGTGTTTCCCCCTGCGTGAAGTATATGGGTATGCTGTTTGGGTCTCTCATAGCATTTTGAATAAGGCGTGCGAGTGGTTCGTGTGAATTTGATAACGCCTTCCACCAGTAATTGTGGATCCCGTCCATTCCCGGCGCTGTCCAGTTTTTCATCCGTTTTACTGTGGCTTGCACGTCGTCTTTCGATACTGTGATGTTGGGCATCTCCGTGTATTTTTCCGAATTCTCCTTTTCGATGTTAATCCACTGTGCTTTCCGATCGTGTTGGATGTTTTCAGCCCAAATTTCTGACCAGAATTCTGTCATCTCAGTCTCTTTTGGGAGTTCATGTTGTTCATCAGTGATTTCGGCCTCAAGATTTCGGAAGAACAGTCTTTGATTATTGTTGAAGAGTGTGTTTTGTTTACATCTTAGTGTTCTTTTATGGTATCTTTTCAGTCTTTTTCCAAGAGCAGCTATTTTTTGTTTTAGAGTCTCCGCTCTTTGTATCAATGTTTGCTCCAGTAAAAGGGTCCCTGGTTTCACCTTAAGTTTACGCGCGCACGTTTTAATTTTCTTAACAAGTTTTCGGCTAGGTTGTTGGGTACTGAGATAACTATGAATTATTCCTATTTCCTTTCGGTAGTTCGATATTTTTGTTTCCAACCGTTTTTTCCATGGGGGGCTCTGGGGTTCTCCTCCAGGCGAATTATATTTATCCTGCTTCAGAATTTTACAGGTTAGTGTAGCTGCGCAGTAAACTTTATGACAGAGATTCTCAAGGCTGTCCGCTTCATTAAAATATTTTTCTAGAGCAGTATTAATTGAGGTGATGGTGGTTTTACATTCAGCATTCATTTTGAGTCTTGGTATTTTTGGCCTTGTACCCATCGGTATCCCTTCATAGTTTTGATTGGCTTCCTGAAACATGAGCAATATACTCTCCTGTTCTTCTATTCGCTGTATATCTTCTTCTGATGGTGCGTAGGTGTTTAATGAGTGCAATCTAGGGTTAAAAGTTCCTGAAAGTCTTGGTGTTCTTGTGTTTATAGATTTTCTGTTAGGGCTTGTTTTAGCTTCAGATTTCATAGTATTTAGCTCGTCTGTTGATATTAGTTTTCGTGCCTTGATGTTGGATATTTGCGCGGCTAAATGCTGAGAGCTAAATTGCTTATTAGGGTAAGTTGTATTCCATATTTCCTGCAGTTTGGATCTGTACTTGGATTTTTTTGTCTCTCCCTCAGTGACGTGGAAGTAAGCATTCATCAGAGCAAGGTTCATCTCTCTAGTCCAATGCTGCCTTCCTCCTCT